AATTATGCAGTACTCTTTTATTTTTTTTCCGGTGAAAATCATACGATAATCTTTGTCAATATATATATAATACTGCCTCCACTCTTAAATATAAGAACTAGTTAATTAATTTGAGTAGATCAAGAAAATAAATTAAGTTAGTTGTTTGTTATAAATACGTGTTGTCTTTCCTAAAATATTTTTGCTAATTTAGTTTATTGGTTATAACTACTATTATTAGAAGAACTATTTAATTTGAAAAAAAGTGAATAAATATGAAAAATAAATTTTATATTTAGGACCAGAATAAAAGTCAAATGATGTTTTATATTAAGGATCGGTAGTAGTATCTTATTCGAATTCATGTAATGATTAATAGAACGCAGAACTCCAGGTGTATAATTATATATTACAACTTACTTTGCGTGTATAATTCAAACATCTGCATATGGTTTTCGAATCAACAGATAAATGTGTGAATTCCAGTACTTGTTTTTTTTCTTTTTTAAAAAAGAAGCTGCTTATTCGTCTTCTTTTCCGGCCAAAAGTCTTATTCTTCTCCTTCACTCAAAGATATACATATATACATATAGAGAGAGAGAGAGATTCAACAGTGAGGCTTTTTTTTTTTTTGCGTACAAATAGTGAGTTTTTTTTTTTGGGTAAAAAAATAGTGAGGTTTGTTGATCACGTATGCATGATTCCGGTGCAGGTAAAGAGGCGTGGAGGCCTTACATGTCCCAATCAGCGCCACTGAAAGGCAATAATTCTACGATACGGGCCCCGAGAGTAGCCTATGCCACAGTGCTTCACTCCTCAGAAGCTTATGTTTGTGGCGCCATAGCTTTAGCCCAAAGCGTCCTTCTCACCCTTAAGAACCACCCCCTTAGGGCCAACGCAGACTTAATCCTCCTTGCTGATAAATCAATCGGCCCCAAATCCACAAGAGGCCTCCAAGCCGCTGGCTGGAAGATCAAACGCATCGAACGCATCCTCAGCCCCTTCGCCAGGAAGAATTCATATAACCGATGGAATTACAGTAAGCTGCAACTGTGGAAGCTCACGGAGTACGATAAAGTCATTTTCATTGATTCTGATCTCTTACTCTTGAAGAACATCCACGGCTTCTCTTTTCACCCTCAACTCTCGGCCGCACCCAATGATTTTTCACTGTTCAATTCTGGGTTGATGATAATCGAACCGTCCGAGTGCATGTTCGAAGATCTGATGCAGAAGAGATTCAAAGTGGAATCGTACAACGGAGGCGACCAGGGATTTCTGAACGAGATATTCACGTGGTGGCATAGGCTGCCTTCGAAGCTGAATCATTTGAAGTTTCATGAGCGTCGAGGGAACTTGTATGAAGAGAAGGAGACAGAACTAGAGGGTGTTTATGCCATACATTATCTGGGTTTGAAGCCATGGCTGTGCTATAGAGATTATGATTGTAATTGGGATTTGAAGGATCACCAGATATTTGCGAGTGACTTGGCTCACAGGAAGTGGTGGCAGGTTTATCAAAAGATGCCCAAGGAGTTGCAATCTTACTGTGGGCTCACCAAGAAGATGGACCAGAGATTGATGACGTGGAGGGGTAGAGCCAAGAATGCTAGTTTGGCCGGTGGCCATTGGAAGATTAAGATCAGGGATCCAAGAAGGAAGCATTTTGTAGCATGAGGACGTTGCTCCAATATTTGAATATTTCTGCTTTTGACGTTTCCTATTCATTAATTAATATAGTGCCGTTAGTTTTTGCCTCAGGGCTCAGGCCCATCGTCCGTACCAATTCCATTGGACCAGTTATTGATCTTGCTCCGGTCAAAATTTTCCCCCTTTGCCTAGAGAGAGAGATATATATGTATTTATCACAAAATATTTATTCGGTCACTTTCACAAGTAAAATCATTGATATTTTCCGACAAAAATATCAAATTACTCTTCCAACTTAGAAGCACCCCACTCTTTCACATGCAATCCCTTACCTTATATGTAGAAAATTATGCAACAGTGAAAGTAAAAAAAAAAATTAATTGCCCATTTTTGCGCAAAATAATTTATATAAGGATTATTAATTTTTTCTAAAAATAACTTATAAATAAGACAAAAGGAATAATCAGCAATTCAGAATTGCGTTAGAGGTATGACAATCGATTTTTTCATAATTACGATATTTACCATAAATTAATATTGATTTTTCTTGATTACAGTAATTTTAAAATATTTATAAATACAAATATTTGTTACAAGTTTAATTGATTAATAATTAATAATTGATCTTCTAATCAAGGGAACAAATACAATGGTCTCATAGGGGGTGTTTGGATAAAATCAAACCATGGTTTGAAGAATAGCTTTTGGATAATAGATTTTTGGAGAGAATATATTTTGTGAAAAAGTGATTCTAATAAAGTGAAAGTATTTGGACAGTTGTTATCAGAAGTACTTTTTCTACGTGCAAATTACTAAAAGGGGCATAAATTAATATGATAATTACATAAAGGATAGATTTTATAATATATTTTAATTTGAAGGAATAAAATTGTTAATAAAATATTTTTTTACCAACATAATTAATAATATATAAGATAATATAATTAATAAATAATTAATATGTGTATATATATTTATAAATTATAAGATTAAATATGTTTATAGAAAAATAATTATTTTTTTCTAATAGAAAAATATTAATTTGTTTTAAAGATTTTAAACATGAAATTCTATAACATTTTTTCACAACTAGTTTTTATAATAACATACTACCTCTCATCTTTAATATAATTAATTAATTATTACTACATGTGTAAAAATATTTATAAAATATAAGATTAAAAATATTTTTTTTAAAAATAAATAATTTTTGGTAAACCGAAAAGAAATAAATTAAAAAAAAGTACAATGTAACAAAGCACTACCTCTTTCCGGTTAAAAAAAAAAACAACAACAACAACATATTACCTCTCTGAGGGGTATATGTGTCTGATAAAAAAAAAAATCCTCATATTCGTATGACACTCTCCAATTTTTTTCACAAACAGATTCAAAATGCTTTTTTTAAAACCATAACTATGGTTTTCATTTCTTAGGGTGTTTGGGTGTTTGGGAAGACACCCAAACACACCCATAGACAAACCCCGCATGCATCTCTAAAAATCTGTTTTAAGAGGAACTGATGCATCCCACGATTTTCCCGCGCCCTCTTGACTCTTGTTTCTCTTAACAAGTGTGCTCGATTTTCTATTAATAATAATTAATTACCCTGTGATCAACAGGGGTGTCTGCGGGATCCAAGACAGTAAGCCGCATTATTTACCCACTTATTAAGAAGATACTCCTCCAATCCTTAATATAAGATCTATTTAACTAATTTGATTAGATTAAGGAAATTAGGTAAGTTAGTTAATTATAAAAAAAAGTGACACATTTGTCCTAAAACACCATAATCATCTTTCTTAATACCCTCTCTTCCTCTTCTACTTGATTATGGTTAACGGAGTATCCATAGGGGTAATTTAGAGAAAATTGATAAATATGAGAAATGAGTTTTATATTTATGACCAAAACTAACTCAAAAATTGGGTTCTATATTAAGAACCAGAGGAGTAACTTAACATAAATTATGGTGTATGTATAGTAGATTATCATTTTTTACCACGTATATACATTATCGTATACTACCTCTGATCCTTAATATAAAAGCTAGTTGACTGATTTGAGTAGATTAAAAAAATTAATTAAATTAGTTATTTGTAATAAATAAACATTGTTTTTAATTAAGTTAGTTATTTGTAATAAGTATATATATATTGTCTTTCCTAAAATACTTTTATTAATCAAATATATTGGTTATAACTAACATTATCATAAGAATTATCTTGAAAAAAATGAATACATATGAAAGATAAAATGAATTGAGATTTTATATTTATGATCAATATAAAAATCAAATGAGCTTTTATATTAAGCGCTGTATATTATGAACTACTATTACATTTATAAACTTCACATTAAGTAAAATAAATATTTTTTAACATTGAGAAAAAATATAAATTAAATTTTAGTATTGGCCAAAAATATATAATTCGTACCCCACAAAAAAGACACACACATTAACAACAAAATTTGTAGTTTTATAACTTATGAGAATATACTGGAAAACAAGTTTTTTTAATTCTTTATAAACTATAAATATATAAATAATAAATATTTTATACTATCTTCGATCCTTAATATAAGATCTCATTTAATTTTTATTTTGGTCATAAATATAATACCCGAATTCATTTTGTCTCTCAGATCCATCTATTTTTTTTAAGGCAGTGATTATAACAATGGTAGTTTTAGCCAATATATTTTATTAGTAAGGATATTTTAGGAAAGACAATACTTATTTATTACAAATAACTAACTTAACTAGTTTTATTAATCTACTCAAATTAGCCAGTTAGTTTTTATATTATGGACCGAAGGTTATAAATTATAATAAAATCTGTCTATAATTACAATACTAATATTCTTTTATAACTATAAATAGAATATTATTTAATAACTAATACTATTTCAAGTCATAATTATAAGAGTTAGTTGATTAATTTGAAAGAATTAAGAAAATAAGTTAAACTAGTTATTTATAATAAATATGTGTTGTCTTTTCTAAAATATCCTTGTTAATCAAATGTATTGGCTAAAACTACTATTGTTAGAAGGATTATTTAAAAAAAAAGCAAAAATACGAGAGACAAAGTAGATTGAAATCTTATATTTATGATCAAAATAAAAATCAAATAAGGTTTTATATTAAACATCAGAGGTGGTATATATATATTACTCTGTTTCTAAATAGAAAACTTTTTTTATACGGTAAATTATACTATAAAAAATCTCTTATATTTATATTATAAAAAGAATTTTATATTAAACATCGGACGAGTACAAGTGTATAACTGTCTGATTCTCGTTATTAAAAAAAAAAAACTGCCTGATCCTTTTCGTGGCTTATCGCTCCTGTCGGTGTTTCCTCTTCGGTTTAAGTACACGAGACAGACACACTCAAAGCAGAGCAGCTCAGCAGCACAAGGAAGCTGGACAGGATCGCTTGGACTCTTAATTTCCGCGGGACCCGTCAGTCTCTCGTCTCTGAGATCTAGGGCTTCCTTCCAAACGCTAATATGGCGCCACTTACGGCGGAGATAGGGAAGACCACCCTCGATTCGGGCTGGCTCGCCGCCAGGTCCACGGAGGTCCAATTCACTGGCACTCAGCTCACCACCACTCATCCTCCAACCGGACCCACTTTACCATGGATGGAAGCCGTCGTGCCTGGAACGTAATCTCTCTTTCCCGCTCTAGTGGTCCAAGTAGACCTGGGCTATATATTTTACTTTCGATTTTTGAATCCTTATCTCTTCTCTGTTGCTCTGAGGCTTAGAGATTTCAGCAGTTACATACTCGGATTGATTCCGTTATTATGGATACATCATGCGATTAGAGTTTGGATGAATGTTAGTTGCTGGTGTATTTTTCCGCCCTCCTTTAACTGTAATTTTGCTGATCAAGTGACCTCAATTGACAGCGTTCTCTCGACCTTGGTGAAGAACAAAATCGTGCCCGATCCTTTTTATGGACTTGCAAATGAAGCAATCATAGATATTGCTGATGCTGGACGAGAGCATTACACATTCTGGTTCTTTACGAAGTTTCAGTGTAAGCTGGTAGGAATTTTGCTTTCCGGCATTATACAATTATAGGCGTAGAAGTGTCACAATTCTAGTTGGCTTCATTTTTTCATTTCTGGCTTATATTCTTCTTCTCCGTCTTCTTCTTCTTCTTGAACTATGCCTTTTTTTAAACCACAAGAGAATTTGATACTAAGAAGTCCTTGGAATTGTTATAGACAGAAAGACATCTAATACTAAAACTATATTTTGTACAAAAGGTGGTTTCTGATTTGAAAATAGTTTCATCAAGGCTTGATGGACGTAACTAATTTGCTGGTCCTTCGCAGTCAGCCAATCAGCACTGTGATCTGAACTTCCGTGGAATCAATTACTCTGCTGATGTATTTATAAACGGCCAACAAATGGTTCTTCCAAAAGGAATGTTTCGTAGGCATTCTCTTGATGTCACTGATATTCTGCATCCTGATGGTAGTAACCTGCTTGCTGTTCTTGTTCACCCTCCGGATCATCCTGGAAAAATACCCCCTGAAGGTGGACAAGGTGGCGATCATGAGGTTGTGACAAAATTGTGTTCGCTTATCAGTTCCCTTATTTGACAACTTTTCGGATCACTTTGGAAAAATTATCTTTCAGGAACCCATACTTTCTGTATATTTAAGTCTTGCTTTTCTTTGCCCCCTCTTTTCAGATAGGAAAAGATGTGGCTACACAATATGTTGAAGGTTGGGACTGGATGGCTCCAATAAGGTGACGTTATTATTACTATTAGGACAAATATTTTGTGCCTAGTTTTCTGTTCTGGATAAGGTACTTCTTTTTATTGAAGCATTGCTGATTTAGAAGTCTTGTTGTTCTTTTCTCTCTGGACTGGGTGGTTTCGGGCTTGTAAATCTACCATTTTGGCAACACTCTTGTAATCATATTTATATTTAGAAAGATTCAATGCGTTAATTTCTTCCCCTTTTTGGTGATTTGTTGAACAAAATGTTGTTTCACTGGGCACTAGCAATTAGGCAGCAGGCATTTGTATAAAAATATGGACGGTCTCATTCGAATTGGATCCTGTGTCCGGAATCTATATAAATAAACACACACACAGGCTATTTCTGATGCCAGTATTTATTTTGATCGCAGAGATCGGAATACTGGAATATGGGATGAAGTGTCCATTTCAGTTACAGGGGTAAGTTAAGTGTGAAAGGCCTTAATCCCTACCACACTATCCAAGTATTTTGATTTCTTTGCTTTTTCCCTCTCTAAATACTCGAGGATTTGTTGTTGGCACTGAGCTTTTCTTTGCTCTTCTACACCCTTCAACAATTTCATATACTGGTTTATAAAACATTTTTCCCGGTAATCATTTTAGCTGTAACTCATGGTGAAATATGGCTGAACCTTCCAGATCCAAAACCAGCTGAGATGTTTTCATGAGATATGCTCTGTAATTTTTTTATGAGATACATCAGGCTGAGTAACTGAGATGAATGAAAAACAAAACCAGCTTGTTGCAGAGACATGGGTTGGAAATCACAAATGCACTATTGGTTTGTTTTGATCAATCAGTCTAAAATTGAATCATCCCATTTTTTAATTGATATCTTCATCATTGATTGTTTCATTTGTTCTTTCAGCCATTTGGCTAGGATCATTTCAGTATCTCCGTCTTTTTTGCAGCCAGTAAAAATAATTGATCCGCACTTGGTGTCATCGTTTTTTGACAATTATAAGAGAGTATATCTGCATACCACAGTTGAGTTGGAAAACAAGAGTGCATGGATTGCTGAATGTTCTCTTAATATCCAAGTCACGACTGATGTTGAAGAGAACACTTGCTTAGTAGAGCATCTTCAAACCCAGCATGTCTCAGTTCCTGCTAAATCAAAGTTACAATATACGTTTCCTCAGGTTGGTTGTACCATCTTTTCTACTAGCACAGCAAACTGCTAAGGTTCCATGCTGGGAACCTTGGTCAACAAATTGGCTATTTTGAATATGGTTTTTCAATCTATAATCCTACTGTCTATTAGTATTGTTTTAGCTTTGCTTTCTACTTAGAATTCGCTGTCAAACCACATGTATTGTGAGTCAATGGTTTTTGACGTGTAGTTGTCATCAATTATGGGTTCAGAAGTCCTTGAAGTTAGTTAACACGGCGCATCAAATACGTGTGTGTGTATGTATTATCTATCTACTTCTCAAGTGATTGTCCCAACAGCTTCTGTTCAAAACAAAATCAACGTGAACTTGTCTGTTATTGGATTGTCCCAATAGCATCCTTTTGCCATGCATCCTGTTCTGCTGCATTTATTAAGGTGGAAGGTTCAAAGCTTCTATTAAAGTTATCATGATCTGAAACTATGAATTGGCAGCTTTTCTTCTACAAGCCCAATTTATGGTGGCCCAATGGAATGGGGAAACAATCTTTGTACAGTGTTGCTATTGACATTGATGTTAAAGGGTATGGAGAATCCGATTCATGGAGACATCACTTTGGATTCCGCAAAATTGAGAGTCATATTGATGTTGCTACTGGTGGAAGGTATGGTGGTTTTCCATGTTCTTTGATGGTATCATTTTTATACCTAGTTCTTGATAGAATTAATTCAAGTTTTGAACATTTTCCTCATGTTCTGTGATGCGTGTATCTTGTCCTACAGGTTGTTCAAAGTCAATGGAGAACCAATTTTTATTAGAGGAGGTAACTGGATATTATCTGATGGGCTGCTAAGGCTTTCAAAGAAGCGGTATCATACAGATATCAAGTTTCATGCTGATATGAATTTCAACATGATTCGATGTTGGGGTGGTGGACTTGCCGAAAGGCCAGAATTCTATTATTATTGTGACTATTATGGCATTCTGGTATGATATAGTTCATCCCTATTCTTCTTCAACTGCTCCGTATGCCCCTTGCTTTGATATATTTTCAAAATGGTATATTCATTGATCTTGTTCAGCTGTGAGCTTGTCAGAGTTGTTTGTGTTCAATTTTCTGTGTAATTTTCCATTGATATTATCTCAGTTTCAATGACTCCCTTATCCCAATAGGCAAGCATGTTTTGATATTTCTGCCTTGATGGAAGTTTTTTCTCTTTTGTTTCTTTTCGTTTGAGTTGGGGTTCAGTAATGGGGAGGTTGCTTTTTCTTCCATTTTTACTGACAATTGTAGTTCATCGTTTGTGTAACTAAAATTGATTGTGATTCAGGTACATTATGTTCTGAGAGCACTTTCTGAGGTGCTCCTATAGCCTTGGTTCAATCACTGTGTTAGGGTTAATTAGGTAGTAGATACATATATTAGTGACATTGAGGTTTCTTAAATTTGATCGTAATGCTGATATAAATCTTGTAGGTCTGGCAAGAGTTCTGGATTACTGGGGATGTTGATGGACGAGGGGTCCCGGTATCAAATCCAAATGGCCCACTAGACCATGACCTTTTCCTGTTCTGTGCAAGAGACACAGTCAAGCTTTTGAGAAATCATCCTAGTCTTGCCCTCTGGGTGGGAGGAAATGAACAAATACCACCAAATGATATAAATACTGCTCTGAAAAATGACCTGAGGCTTCATCCTTACTTTGGGAGTGTAAATGAAATTGGCAAACCTGTAGAATACTCTTCCTTGATGTTGAGAGATCCTAGCCAGTATCTTGACGGTACACGTATTTACATCCCAGGGTCGTTATGGGATGGGTTTGCAGAGGGAAATGGAAGCTTCTCTGATGGCCCTTATGAAATCCAAAATCCTGAGGACTTTTTCAAAAATGATTTTTACCGTTATGGATTCAATCCGGAGGTTGGTAATGTAGGAATGCCAGTTGCAGCTACAATTCGAGCTACAATGCCACCGGAAGGATGGCAGATACCAGTCTTTAGGAAACTCCCTGATGGTTATGTAGAAGAAGTTCCGAATCCCATCTGGGAATACCATAAATACATTCCTTATTCAAAACCATCCAAGGTTCATGATCAGATTCTACTTTATGGCACCCCAAAAGATCTTGATGATTTTTGCATGAAGGTGAAAAGATTTTTAATCCAGGCTCGATGTGTTTTTCATCCTCCTGCATTTTCTGGTGAATTTGATGCTCATATTTTCACTTTTATGCCACAATATTTCAGGCTCAACTCGCGAACTACATTCAATATAGAGCTCTTCTAGAGGGATGGACCTCTCACATGTGGAGCAAATATACAGGTGTATTGATTTGGAAGACACAAAATCCATGGACGGGTCTCAGGGGTCAGTTTTATGATCATCTGCTTGACCAAAATGCGGGTTTCTATGGCTGTCGATGTGCTGCAGAGCCAATTCATGTACAGCTCAATCTGGATACTTATGTTATAGAGGTATGGTTTGTCTATTTAAGTTGTATTTTGTATGAGTAAGGATTAGCAGTACAATAAATATCCTTCTTCTCAAGGTAAATATGGGGATAAGAAGGTAAAATCAACAAGAGAATTAAATTGACATTTATGAGGGGATCAAGTCATGAATAGAGTAGCTTATTTGCTATAAAAAGTTTTGTAACATTTCATCTTCCTGCCCTAAATAGGTTGTTAATACTACATCAGAAGAATTGTCTGAAGTGTCCATTGAAGCGTCGGTATGGGATCTCGAAGGAACATGTCCATACTACAAAGTTCATGAAGCCCCCCCTGTGCCACCAAGAAAAGTTGTGCCCATTGTTGAGATGAAGTATCCGAAGAGCAAAAGTCCAAAGCCAGTCTATTTTCTTCTTCTTAAACTCTACAAGAAGTCGGATTATAGAATTTTATCTCGAAACTTTTATTGGTTGCATCTCCACGGTGGAGATTACAAGCTACTAGAACCATATAAGGAGAAGAAAATACCTCTCAAGATAATATCGACGGTTTTGATTCAAGGGTCTACCTATGAGATTCAAATGCATGTGCAGAATACATCTAAAAGACCGGACTCTAGACTTACATCCTTAAGGCACAGTTCAACATCTAGTCAAGGCGACGTTGGCTTCACCACGGAGTCGGTGGAAGTTGTAGAAGGATGGACTGGGAAAGAACAAGAAGTTGGTTTGCTTAAGAGTATATACAGGTGTCTTGCTGGGAAAAAAGATGATGGATTGAGGGTAACTGAAGTGAATGGGCATGATCCAGGAGTTGCTTTCTTCCTTCATTTTTCAGTTCATGCTTCGAAGAGGGAGCATAGAGAAGGGGAAGATACTAGAATTCTCCCGGTTCATTACTCAGATAATTACTTTTCACTGGTGCCGGGGGAGGCCATGCCTATTACGATATCTTTTCAGGTGCCTCCGGGCGTCACCCCTCGAGTCACTCTGAATGGCTGGAATTACCATGGACACGCCATCCATGAAGCTGTATAGGCATGTTCCATGCAATGTTGTGACCCCCCCCCCGGGGGGATAAACTGTGTCGATAAAATTTAAATGAAGTTTGGAGAGAGGTGTAAACAATTATCATCTTTCATTCAAGAAATTTATAAATTAATAGTTGAGATTATTATAAAATTATTATTATTATAAATCAACATTCTCAAAATGTATGAATTGTAACGTATAGCGGGGAAAACCGTAACGTATTACAGCTTTAAGGCTATTCTAGAATTTAGGTGTGGGTGTGCACGAACCAGTAAAGGAGGAAATGTCCTCATGAAATGGCTTTCATAAACCGATTTATTGAGGAGATTAAGCCTGCCGCTTTGTCAAGCAAATTTGGGCCTTGCACTGACTTCTCTTCTGCACTGCCAAATATCAGCTGCCACGTGGAGGTAAAATCACCCATAAGAAAACAATTCAATCATCATAGTGTTTTTGGGAAATGAAGTGATTTTCTACCAGCAGGGCATGCCAAATGATTTTCTATTCTATAACTGAAGCTACTAACCTCAAGTTCCTCAGCGTCAGGACGACTAATGAACTCCTTGGCTAGTAGATATCTGTTGGGCCTATCCTTGTCATCGTAGAACACTTTCCACAATCTAAGAGTGATCAACAAAATAATCAAAATGCAGGCCATAAATGGATTGAATTTGTCGTTGGAAAAAGGAGTGAATATTATTTGCCAAGCCAGAACTAGTATTTCACCACAAGCGCGTATTTCTTATTTCAATTTTTGAGGGTAAACGATGAATCCTATGACAACCGGTAAATCATGTTGGTTCTCTCAAAATCTAGAAACTAAATCAATACCCAATCCTCTTTTTAGGGGTAAACCAGTCATCCGCTTTTGAAAGAAAAGTGGAGTCCTAATTGTAAGGTTTGGTCTTCATCTCTCAAGGGGTCGTCAGGATTTGGGTTAACGATGGGGGCAAATAATCTGAAACTGCAAGCTGTAAAGATAAAAAAATGCAATATGATTTCATGTACAGTAGTCCTTGTGGGAGGGGAACAGAAGACCTTACCCGGGATAGCACCTGAAGACTGCACCAGATGGTAGAGGTCGCATGGAATAAACAGTGGTGAAAGTGCTGTACAACAAATGACAAGTGTTTAGCAGTCTGATGCGATCAGAACACCACAATTCTTGAAAAAGGAACTAAACAAATACAGTTAATAAGATTTTTACCAAGGAGAACAACAAAATGTAAGGCTGAGGCCTAAAAGAAGGACTCAGGAGGAAAACACTGGGGGCAAATAACCTTTTCCTTGAGAAGCTAGCATGAGTCAACTAAAGTAGGTTAAGTGTCCATGGCTCATGAATAGTGTGGTTTGTTTGAGCTTTTATGTGATATACATATGCCCTGTTATGTATCTTCCCCTCATGTTTTGAAATCCTTAATAAACAACGATAAAATCTTAAAAATTATAGCAAATCAATAGTAATCTTGCGATATTTTGGTCATATTTTAACTTGCATGCACAGCTTTCATATTTACAACAGATTGAAGATAAGGATAGACTAAAAGTGAAGCCATAGACTTAAGCAGCTAAAAGCAATGAAAAGCAAAAACAAGGCCGGTAAAGGTTAGAAGAATTCCCATAGCCAGCCATTATAGAGAACCTATATCTCGCATACTAAAGGGGAAAATATTATGTTAGATAACTCAAGAAGAATTTTTCCACCTGAATTAATGGATCGGAACAAACTTTATAACTCCCAGAACAGATGGCATCACTATTTCTAACTGCCAGTTGAAATATAGAGTAACCAAACAAGCGTAAATGAAATGTGAAATGACTTAAATCTCAAACCCTTTAGATAAAAAGGAAATCACACCTTAAAAAGTAGCGTCTTAACTTCCGAACATTAACTCCAACCCCAACATCCTCACTGATCAAGCGCGGATTCCACATGATGAGAGGCCTCGGCTGCAAATATACACAAAGTTTGTATGAAACATGAGTATGGAAATTTCTAAAATTAATGCCTAGTGCTGAAATGACATGGCCGGCTGATGCCATCCTGCAGCCTATGGTGGTTTGCTAGAAAGACTCATGATATGAGAAACTTACAGCTGCCTAGAACTCTAATCTAAAGAATTAAGTCAAACATGAATTCAAGAAAATATCACGTTTGGTTTTCCTCACTAATTGTTAAACTGCATCACATTGATCAGTTGGAGGATGCTTAAATTTTAGACACCGCGATAGTTCCTGTTAAACAATGAGCGCATAAAGGATGGAAGAATCAGAGGCCAGGAATGTACAGGATCATTTGATAGATCAGCTGCAATTCTCTCAACATATTCTAACATTTGATAATCAGGAACGACCATGACAATGATCTCGTCTTCACTTTCTACAGGCCTTCGATCGCTTAAGCTGGATTGACATGACAGAAAAATTGTACATGAACAAACAGTAGATGACTATTAATATATACAAAATCATGAAAAAATTAAGACATCATGGCCATTAAAATTCTTTAGGGAAATGCAAGAGTAAGAATCCAATGACAAAAATTACACACCAACATCACGCTTCCATGGCAAAGAAGCAATTATATATGGACAAATAATTACTGTGGCAGCAGTCACCTGGCAAATTTAAATGCAGCATCCTTCCACCGATATTTTAGAAGAGCAGCTGCTCCCGCATCTGGAAATATGGCTTTAACACTCTAACAATCAAACTAATGGAATTTAGCAAGCAAGTTAAAACACAAATATATCACAAGCATGTCTTCTTTTGATCCTTCAGAATTTTATAAGGCTAATCATTTTTCTTTTTCTTTTTCTTTTTTTAGGTCTGTGATACGAAATGGCAAGAGCATGTCAGTACTGGACCTTAATGTTTTACAGACAGGCCGGAATCCTGACAATCCTCTATATGTTGAAATATTACAACTCATTGTGACCCATCTGACTAACCTGACATTCTGTTTCTTTGATAAGTGTGTCCAAGAAAATCCTTGACAATTCCCAGAGCTCCACTTGTGCCCCTTCATCATCTAAAAATTGCAGTTGGGGGATTAAAAGCTCAACCTGCAAAATGGTCAATATAAGACAGATGGACAGATACTCATTCACTCACACGGTCCTTCGCACACATACAGGGTTTTTTTTTTTTTGACGGGGGTGCAGGGTGAAGACTTGAAAATTTAATAAATTATTCATTGATAACCCAGATCACATGCGAGACAACTTTGACACCAAATTGCCCATGCTTAAGCATTTTAGTTAAGATAAAATGCAAAGTAACAGTACTGAAACAAGAAGGAAACAGCATCTGACTTTTGACCACCTTAGACAGGTTAAATTTATGAAGTACTTCATCTTAGAAAATACTCAAAATAGCAAGGTTAAGATGACTGGACTCTTAAAAAATGGCTGCAGAATTGCATAGTATGTCCTCCACATAATAGTATCAGGTCATACGACTTAAATTCATCATAGGTGGACAAAGAGGGCGCGAATAATCATTTGGTTGCAATGTCTTACTTTCAGTCATCTTAACTTGGCTGGGATGGTTAGGTTCTTTAGAAAATATTGAAGAATAACATTGTATGTCATTTACGCAATGAATTCAACTCACCCTACCTGAATTCATGGAATATATCCATCAATGACAGCAACCATACTTTTTACCTAAAATGCAGTACAGACTTTGAATAGTTTTGCATGTAGTCCACATTTTGATTTTCGCCCGTATATTTTATGTGTTGAAAATAGGCCTGACAGCACAAAGATAGTGCATACACACACATTGGGAACTAGATTATCAAACTTGAGCACATACTATGGCTCTCATTCCTCCTGAAGACACAAAAACGGCAGTGGCCTCACTCGATTGCCGCACTGCACCCTCCAAGTCTGGAGGCAAGCAACTGAAAGAGAAAACAGAAGAGTTAACCGCTTTTTGATACCTATTGGAATGAAAGAATCATTGCATTAATTCTGATCATACAGCTGCAACAAATTGGCGCGCGTATATCAGAAAGTGTGATGTCACATTACGATAAACTTGGAGCGCGTCGGTGACAAATAGAGTTCGGTTCATGTCATCAGTCAAGGAGTTCGACACAACATGTAAAACATATTTATGAATCAGAATAATTAGTGGATTTCAAGTCATTTAAACTCGATGAAATGATTATTCGGTTTCTTTAAGATACCCTAGAAAGTGCAAAAAAAAAAAAAAAAGTTTACGAAACGCCAAGGCTGCGATGAACTTGTGGCTCAAAATTATAGAAATAATTAGAAATGGCAAAAAGGAGGTGTGAAAGAACTTGAGCAGTGCCGTCAATTACCTGAAAAGGCTTGGGCACAAAAGACACGCCGAGCAAAAAATCCTGAACATAGAGTTCTGCGGATAATTTATCTCTAATAACTGGCCTATGACGGGAAACACAACATAAATCGAAACTGAATACGATTTACAACGCTTACATTGAAGTTTGTAAAATAACTGAAGGAACCAATACCTGTCATCCTCCTCAAAATTTTCTAGTGAAGATGAAGTTTCGACCTCTCGAAGACTGTCTTGAGGAGGTTCGCCTTGGAACTTCTCAAACTTGGCACGAATTCTTGAGGTAGAGCTAGCACAATGACCGGAAATCACATGGTATCCGCAAAAGATAGAGTTTGAGAAAGACAGGGAACAGCCAGTGGCTGAGGTTGAAACTGGTATTGAGGAACGGCTGAAGAACAAGTTGCAGCTTGGACTTGAACAAGCCATCTATTTCGATTTCTGCTTTCTGCTTGCCTCTTCCTAAGCCATGGACGACGCAATCCTTTCACTCAACTAGTTGAGCGTCAGCGTCTGTCTTCTGGATCATTAGCTTGTTCCTGTTTAGCATCTAGCACACCGCATCATTTTCTCCTCTTGTTTCCATTCATTTATTTTTATTAGGATTAATTAATATGTAACTCTTCATAATATTAACTAATTTTAAATCAGGTTTTTACAGTTTTTTTTCTTTTTATTAGGTTTTTATTCTTTCACATGTTTTTAATTAGGTTCTTGTATTTATTTTTCTTTTTATAAAATCCTTATAATTGTCCTAAATTCTTAATTAGGTCCATGTTGTTTTAATTTTTATTTATTAGT